ACCTCCACCACCTCCACTGCTGAACTGCACCCTCTGCTGCACACCACCACCTCCACTGCTGAACTGCACCCTCTGCTGCAGACCTCCACCACCTCCACTGCTGAACTGCACCCTCTGCTGCACACCTCCACCCCCTCCACTGCTGAACTGCACCCTCTGCTGCAGACCTCCACCTCCACTGCTGAACTGCACCCTCTGCTGCACATCTCCACCACCTCCACTGCTGAACTGCACCCTCTGCTGCACATCTCCACCACCTCCACTGCTGAACTGCACCCTCTGCTGCACACCTCCACTGCTGAACTGCATCCTCTGCTGCACACCTCCACCACCTCCACTGCTGAACTGCATCCTCTGCTGCACACCTCCACCACCTCCACTGCTGAACTGCACCCTCTGCTGCAGACCTCTATTAGGCCAACAGCATTAGGCATGCACATTTTGCACTGCACCCTTGTCCTCTTCTTTCTAATGATCTACGTTTTTACGTCTTGGTGTGTGCATGCGCACATGTGCAGGTGCCTGTGAAGGACAGAAGAGAGTGTTGGGCAGTTGTGACCCACCAAAGTGGGTGCTGGGAACTGAACTTGGGTTTTCTGCAAGAGCAGCAAGTGCTCTCAACAGCTGAGCCATCTCTCCAGCCCCGTTCTCTTCTTTCTAAACATTTCAATAATAATCATGGACTTGTACAGAGATGACAACTTGGCAAAGCTCCAACGAAAAGGACATGTCATCCCGGCCTGGCATGAATGCAAATGGCACAACTTTTCTTCAGGGAAGCTTGGCAGCAAGCTAAGAAAAGGGTGCATACATTTTGATACCATAATTTCTTTAAAAGGATTTGTCTAAAGTTAACAGTAATGTACCAGATGACATGCTCATATTAGCAAATGATCAGAAGCAACCTAAAAAATGTCAAACACCAAAGAATGAATTAAACAGTCCAATACGTGTGGTCCTGAAAATCGTATTACCAAGAATGGTGGTAAATTGCATATGATAAACTTATGAAGTTAAAAGTCAGGATAGAAGACTCAGTGAGCAGTGGGACATTCTGGAAAAGTTGGCAAGTGGGGTTTTGCTGTAGGGGGCAGGCCACTGGGGACAGGTCCTCGAGGGTATGTTAACACTTCCTGGTCCACCATGTGACGTGAAGAGCCTCCATCACCCATTCCTGACCCCAGGAACTCAGGGAGCCACTGTCTCTTCCCTGCCACGGTGGACTCACCATGAAGCCGTGAGCCCAGAGAAATCTCTCCTTCCCTAGATTGTCTCTGAAGGTATTGTGGTCCTCACAAGGCAAAAACTACTAATAACAATGTTTTGTTTATTCATATATTTATTTATTTTTGAGACAAGAGCTTGCTATGTAGTACAGGCTGGTCTTGATTTCTCTGTCCTCCTGCCTCAGCCTCCTGAGTGCAGGGATTACAGGCTTGCACTACCATGTATAGACGCACTGGTTCTTTTATTGTTTGTTTTTCGAGACAGCGTTTCTCTGTGGAGCTCTGGCTGTCCTGGAATTCACTCTGAAGACCAGGCTGGCCTCAAACTCACAGAGATAAATCTGCCTCTTTCCTCCTAAGTGCTGGGATTAAAGGCGTGCCTATTTATAATCTACATCATATTCTCAATGCCATTACAGTATAGGCAGCTTTGGGGATGACATTAATGTTGAACTCCATGCAACACATTAGCCACTATCCAAAGGTAGCTACTGAACACTTGACATGAGGAAGTATGTCTCACAAAATGAATTCTTATCTTTAGTTAACTGAAATAGCCACAAGAATAGCTATTTTACTAAACAGTTGAGAAATAGACAAAGGGGCACATAAAGCAAGAGGTTGGCTTCAGGAGGGACCGACCAATGTCCACACACACAGGACATAGAGTGGGTGTGGTGTCTCCAGCTGGGCCAACACAGAGTCCTCCAAAACAGGACATAAAGAGCAGCGGGTGGTAATAGTCAACTCTAGCTAGGTTAGCTCAAACCAGCTTTAGGGACCACCTTAGCAGGGTCTGTGCATGCGCAGGGTGCTGTTACCCTGTCCCCTGGTGAACTTTTCAACTTCGAGGGTACTTACACCCCCATCCATATTCCTCCATCGTATACATGTGCTTGTGACAGAGTCAGTCCTGTGTGAAATGGCTTTCTGCGGAGAATGGGTCACATTTCCTGGAGTTCCCTCCTCACAGGAAGACACCACAGGGAAAGGCATCGTAAGGAGAAGAGAAGTGTAAGTGCCATCTTGCTTCCTTGGCTGCTTTAATTAGCTCTGGAGTGCTTACTCTGCCACGTCTGCCCTCTGGATTCTTCTCTTTCAGGAGTGCAGGAGTGGAGATGGTAGCTGGGGAGGAGACCAGAGGACCCGGAGAACCTCCGTGAAAAAACACTGGTCTGACTGCTTGCTAAAGAACTGGATTCCAGGCCCCTCCCAGACTCTGGCTTGTCAGAGTGGAGCCAAGGAATCTGCACCTTCAACCCAAGACCCTGCTTGTGTAGCCGGGACTGTGAACTACATTCAGGAAGTCATAGTAAGCTAAGATTCGGGTATCTGGGTTGTCCTGGGTCATTTAAAAAATAAAATAAAAATAAACCATGGAGTATTTTGGTCTCTGGGGCAGACCGTCCAGTCTGAGCAGCCACAGCTGAAATTGTGGCACGTGAGGAGCTCGTCCTATGTACAGGCAGTTTCAGTGCCTCCACTGCCTTGTTCTTGGAATTTCAGACATTCATCTATGCTGATTCTCTCAGAGGTAACGTTGTTGTTCAAAGTAATCCCCCTGGGACTTCGTCTTCTGCCTTCCTCCTTCCCCTTCATCCTGCCGTGGTCTCCAGGGCAGACCTCTCTGATAACTGCCCACTCCCACGATGACACCTCCAACAAGGCCAGCGGGATTGTCTGCCCAAGAATTAGAAAAATAAATAAATAACTTGTTTGGGGGCTTTGAGGAACTGTCACCTGCCTTTCCAAGGCGGGTTCTAAACAGCTACCCGTAAGGTTAGTTGGAGCCAGAGAGGAGGTGAGAAAGAGCCGTTAGGGTCAGAGCCTGGACGCCGGCTGCCCTAGGGTCAGAGCAGTGACCTGTCTTCAATAGATCAATGAGAGGGGAAGTAGTGAAAAATCAGAGATTTATCCAAATTGGGAAGAGGAACGCATAAAGAGGTCTAGCAATCCCTGCCCACCAAGTCAGTCTTTGGGATCCTGACATGATGTTAAGGTCTGAATAGGGAGTAACACTTATGCACAGCTAAGTAATCCTGGTCAAGATGGAGTCTGTCTGTCATTAACTCAGTGTCTCAGCTCAATGACAGGAATGGATGAAATTTCTTCTCTGGAGGTAAATCCCTCTTCAGGAGCTAAGCCTTTCCCTCTTCTTAGCATGAGATTTCTGAAAAATTCCAGTTCCTAGGGGACCATTGTTTCAATGGTCTGATAACCAGAGGGAAAGGCGCAAGTGTCTCTCACTAGAGTATCTTTGTGCCTATGGTCACGGTTATGGGTGCAAGATTTTCTGTGTCCCAAGGCCTCCCACAAGGGAGAATAAGATGGGGGTCACATTCACATTCACACCCCAGTTTCAGTGACTCTGAGAAAGTGCTTCATTTGCTCAGACACAATCCATCCCTTTGAAGGAATGCCTGCTGTGTCCTGGGACCACCAAAAGAGAGCCTCAAGTGTGCTGTAGGCTGTGGGCCAGCCTTCTACGATCCCATGCTGAAGCCCCAGCCAATGAGGAGCAACTGTGCCCCTATATTACCCTTTTCGCCTTTTAGTGTGTTTAACAGGCTATCGTAACCCAGAGCTGCAAGCAGACCTCTTATCAAAGGAACAGACCTAGAGACAGAGACCTCTGCCAGGCCCAGAACAGGTAGGGCACCTAAACTGACCATCCCATAAGACCCAAGACTCTTTCCTCTTTAAAAATGGAGAGTCTGTAGAATAGAATGCCTCGCCCATTTTCCTGAGATAAACAAAGAATGGACACCATGGAGACAACCTGTGGCCTAGTCACCCAAGTCACCTTCCAGGGAAAAGTCAAGATCAGGTTAACCTGTCTCGCTGTTTGGTTTGAGGCTCTAGGTTACTCAGGCGGTGCCCACCAGCAGCAGCCTTTCTCAGGGCAGCTGTAGAGGAAATGGCAGGCTCTCCACCAAGAGCCTGCCTGTGAACTTCCAGCCCCCTAGCAGGCTCCTCATGCTGGGAAGAGAATAATCTTGGATTCCCACAAAGACACACAGGAATAAAGCAGAAGTAACTCAGCAAGGCAATTTCGTTTAGCAAGAAGTGAGTGTCAGCACCCAAATGGAGCCAGCAAGCACACGGCTGAGATGGCCTCATATCCTGGTAGGTGGTAACTGAATCTCATCCTGTTGGTGGAACTCAATTTCACCAGCTGATACGATTGGCTAATTGGCTCAAAGGAGCAGAGAGGTTCAGTAAGCAAGGACCCTTGTCGGGTTAACTACATGTGACAGAAAACAAAAGACACCCTGTTTCTCACACCCAGGTGCCTGGATTCCAGGCTGGCTGGCCCAGTCATCTACCCATATAATGGATACACTTGAACTAAATGTTCACCCCGCCCCCATATCTGCAGAGAACACACACACACACTCCTTCCCTTGAATTTTTCCACTCCTACTGCTGCTCAGCAGTCAGAAACAGCCTGAGTCATGAACCCCTCCTCCTCCTTCTGAGACCTGTAAGAAAAACTCACCCCACCCCACCTATTGGGCCTGAACTTGCATCAGAGTATCCCATGCTGCTGTCTGTCTCTCTGGGCCACTCCAATAAGCATCTTATCCAAAGGGACAATCTACCTCCGTGTCCCCGCTGAGCCCCAGACCTGAGGCCTTTCGTTCACAACCCATTAGTATATTCTGACCTTTGTTCCGTGGTTTTCTGTAAAACAGCTACTGTCAGGATGGGGAGAGAAAATTAGACTCCTTTCTCCACATTGGTTTGTGCCAAACTACAAATCATTTGTTTCCTAATTTTCTTTGGAATTTAGGGAAACTAAAGCAGAGGATAAGAAGGTTGGTGCTCATAACATTTCCAGCTTCCTCCACTGCTTGGGGCTGCCCTGCCAGCTTTTCCTGAAAGCTCCACTTCCCCATTAGCTGCTGTTAAAGAAGCCTTCCCAGGCTGCAGGACCCCATCAGAGAGCCAGGCATGACCTCTTCCCACTCTGGGATGATACTGCCTTGCATGGTGCCGAAAGCATCCAGCTTGTGCCCAGACTCTCAGTCAGTCCTCTGTGCTGCCTAGTTTTATGTCAACTTAACACAGGCTAGAGACATCTGAGAGGAGGGAACTTCAATTGAGAAAATGCCTTCATAGGACTGGGCTGTAGACAAGCAAGCCTATACAGCATTTTCTTAATTAGTGACTGATGGGGGAGTGTAGGCAGAATATTCTGTCCCACCAGTCAAAAAAACCACACAGAGACATATTATTAATTACAAATGCTCAGCCGATAGCTTAGGCTTGTTACTAACTAGCTCTTACAACTTAAATGAACTCATATTTCTTATCTACATTCCACCATGTGGCTCAGTACCTTTTCTCAGCACAGCATATTCATCTTGCTTCTCTCCACATATCCTGGCAACTCTGCACTTCTTCATCCTCCAGTTCTCTCTGTCCTCAAATCCTGCCTAACCTCTCCCTGCCTAGCTATTTACCATTTAGCTCTTTATTAAACCAATGAGGGCCACACATCTTCACAGTGTACAAAATGATTATTCCATAACAGGAGAGGACCCAGCACATTGTGGGTGGGATCACCCCTGGGACTGGTTGGTCCTGATTCTATAAGAAAGCAGGCTGAATAAGCCATGATGACCAAGCCAGTAAGCAGGACCCCTCCATGGCCTCTGTATCAGCTCCTGCCTCCAGGTTCCTGCCCTGTTTGAGTTCCTGTCTTGACTTCCTATGATAATAAACAGTGATGTGGAAGTGTAAGGCAAATAAACCCTTTCCTCCCCAAGTTGCTTTTGGTCACAGTGTTTCGTCGAAGCAATAGAAACCCTGACTAAGACACCCTCCCTCCACCACTATGAAAACAACCCCATCATTTTCAGCCCTCAAGCCTCCAGGGATACAACCTGATGGAGGGGAGCATGGCAGGAGAGAAGAGACCATGGAACCCTGGCTTTTGCTTTTTCTTTCTTGTCTTGTTTTGTCTGTTTGTTTGTTTGTTGCCTTTTCCTGGTGACAAAAATCCTTGTTCTGTGCAGTGTGATGGGGGCAGATGGAGGGCATGAGGACGCTGGCAACAACCAGGCTCTGATTCAGTCACCATTGCCCGATGATATCTACTCGTCAAAACGGACTCCGGGAAGTGAAGGGAGGCTGCCTGCCCCCTCAGTTCCAGCCTGTGTTACATCAGGAAAACGGTCAGGGATGCAGCACGGATGGTATGAAGGAAGTCCAAAGGCTCTCCCTACACTGGCAAATACCCAGCCTCCCCAGGAGGGCACTGCCTGTTTGGTCTGTTTCCTCCTAACCCCCGCTTGAAAGCTCAGCACAGCTCATTGATCGAGGCTTCCCACAGGCCGGCTGCTTTCAACAGAGCCTTTGAGGAGGACTTAGCTCCTGCTTCCAAGCCTGAGGGCACCTGGGCATAAAAGAATCTCGGAGCTGGGGAAGAGTCTATTCTAGGTAGCCAGAGTCTGTTTTTTTCTCTAACTACTATTGTACTGAATTGGAAAAAATGCATCAGTAGAGTCGGCCCCCGTCCCTGTCCCCAGGGCTTGGCCAGTGAGCCAACGCTTTGTCAGATGGAAGTTAAGTTCCACCACTGAGTGTCTTGGGTCCTTAAATCATCTGGTCCCCCGACCCAGGAGCAGCCTGCCAGCCAGCTGCCATCACCAAACAGAACACAGGCACCCTGGCACCTTGGCTTGGGTCCCTTTCCAAGCGAGGTACCACACATGACTTGGTGAGCGATCTCTGGCTGCCATTCAGGGGAAGACAGATGGCTGAGAAATGATTTTCTGGAGATTTCTCTCTGATGTTTCAGAAGCAAGCTATGGCTTTAACATGTATTCCTGGGGTCCTGTCCAGTTGGGAAAAGCCTAAACACTATGGATACAGGTCAGGATAACATGTTTGCAGTTGGGGGACACAGATAAGAGGGTGGGCAGGTAGGGGTTTTCATAGCTGGCATTAAATCAGAGAGAAGCAAAGAGGCCGCAGAGGTCAGGGAAGAGGCTGAACTGGACCCTGCGGTCACCGCACCATCTGCATGGGAAGAGAAGGGCCCTGGCACCCTCCCTAGCCCACAGATTTGAGACGTGGCAGCTTGCTGGCTGCTTTCAGCCCTCACCTCGGCTCGTTCAAGGGTGGAGGCGTTCTTTCTCCTCATTATTCTCCCAGGCTGTAACCTCTGCTCATGTGGCATCAGGATCTTGCACCATCGAGCACCACCATCCTTCCGAGTTCCTGCACATTTACACAACTGCCCACACGGCCCTTCAGCCTCACCTCAGCGACGCATTGTGTCCTGTGCCTGATCCTCTGGACACTCCCGGGTCCTTTGTTTCCTACCCACCATACCCTCCAACCCCAAATTTCCCTGAAAAGGGGTCCCAGCCTCCATCTTCACTCCTGCCCCTGCTCTGATCCAGGCCACCTGTTTCCTGGAACTGCTTCCTAATGGATCACCCTCTGCCCACTCCAGAGTGCAGCCAGGGACATCATTCTTGTCACCGGACAGGTCCTCTTGCTGCCTGGCTTACAACTCTACATCCCTGAACTGTCAGCGTCTGCCCCAGATGTCCATTTATGATCTCGTTCCGTGTCTATGGCCTCTCTGTCCCTGACACCCAGCACCTGCACACTTGACCACTTTAATTCCCAAGTGGGACTCCTTTCTTTCCAGGAGTCTTTGAAGGCTGTTTTCTCTGTCTGGAATCCTCATACTCCCAAGCGAATGGCCCACTGACAGCAGCCTCACCATGATTGGCTGATTCCGACTGACTTTTTATTTTGGTTAAAAAGCTGCTTTCTCTCAGAAGACCCCAACCTTTCTCCTGTGTGTTCCTTTGTCCCTCTATCCTTACTCTTATCACAGAATTGCATGATTTCCACTAGCGCGTGTGTGTGTGTGTGTGTGTGTGTGTGTGTGTTGTGCGTGCGTGCGTGTGTGTGTGTGTGTGTGTGTGTGTGTGTGTGTGCATGTGTGTGTGTGTGCAAACACACAGAGGCCAGTGGAGGACACGGGTGTCACACTTCAATACCCTTTGCTTATACCCTTGAGACAGTGTCTCTCGTTGAATCTTGAGTGTGTTTTTTAACATTTTTAAACACATTTATTAATTTATTTGTGTCAGGTTGGAGGTGGATACAAGCTTGCCACCGTGAGAGGAAAATTTGCGAGAGTTCGTTCTCTCCTTCTACAATGTGGGTTCCAGAGACCCAGTTCCGGCCGTCAGACTTTGCAGCAGGTGCCTTTACCTGCTCGGCCACCCTACTGCCTCCCTCTTTTGTTTTTCCCCAGCTAGGCTGGCTGGCCAGCAAGTCCCAGCAATCCTCCTGTCTCTGTCCAGCACCAGCTGTGAGGTTACAGGCATGATCAACCACACCAAGCCTTTAAAACGTGAGCTCTGGGATCTCAAGTCTCCAAATTTGCTCCTCCAGCGCTCTTACCCACGGAGCCCTTTGCCCAGGCCTAGGCTATAAACTCTTCCTAAGACAGAAACGACGCTTTGCTTGCCACGGCATCAGTGCCAGACGCGGCATCTGGCATGCAGGAGGCATCCACAGCATTTTCGTGGAGTGAATGAACAAGCATCTTGCCCAGAGTTGAGATTCCAACCCAGCCCGGTTTGCCTCAACCCCTTTGCACTCGGACGATACCGGCATTGTCCTGTGTGTTATTTAAAGCAACACTGGATGACCCCTGGAGCTAGTGCTGTGTAGCTTGGGGTGACTGCAGTGAACTCTTGCATCTGATATTTGGAAATCAACTTTTGAGTACTCATCAGCTACCCACTTACCATTCTGGTCTAGAAGCCAGATCTCTTCCAGCTCTTTATCTGCAAATTGACTGACTTGGGCCTTCCAGTTACCTCCTACTTCCCCTCAGAGCTACACCTCCACCATAGTGCAGTTTGCTCCTTGGTACAGTCCTATGCAAAATGCCTGGAGAGCGAGGAAGAGTCGGAGCCACTATGTACCGTCGGGTTGGACTTTACTGTGAAAGGAAATGGCTTGCATTCCTATCCCAAGACTGTGCTGACTTGTGGATGCCACACCATGTCAGCTGGCCTCACAACGTTCAGACAGCCTGGAGATTGTAAGCAGACGTCAAAGCAAGGCCTATTGCTCAGCAACCATGACTGCACACACAAATTACATATTCACACACACAGGAGTCATGAATGGACTGCATTATCTACCTCTGCTTTATTTAGATGAAGAATGACATGTAATGGGGAATACAGAAGCTCAGAAAAAGCCCTGAGAACCCTCAGAAGTGGGCTGCAATGATCTTTCCCTGTAGGACCATTGGCTCCCATGGGGCAGTGGAGGAAGTAGCACATCATGGCTTCCTACTGGTCTCTGTGCACCATGGTGTGGCTCTCCCAGGGCCCAGACACTTGGGATGTCAGTTCAAGTGATGCCACCAGGCCTCTCTGAAATGGGAGCTTTTATTGTTCTGAATACTTTGCTGCTCAAAGAAAAAGTATTGGAAATACATCTGACACCCTGGATTCAATTCAACACAATTCAGCCAAATGGGAGAGATATAAGAGAATCAGTTTGGCTATAAATTGATCACTGTTGAATCTAAGTGATGCTTATGTGAGGGGGTGTGACGTAGTCTCTATTCTCTTGTACATATTTGAAATTTCCATGAAGTTTTTCATTCTTCATTTGAGTATAAAATTGAATAACTTTTTCTAAGGAATAATTCAGTATTACACAGCCTTTAAAATAGGCAAAGTCCATGACTCAGAAAATCTGCTTCTAGATTTTTACCCTTAGGAAATAATCAGAAATGTGTGGAAAGATGCCTCTACTAGGATGTTCACCGTGGTCTTATTTGTGATAGCAGGGAGAAAGGAAATGGCCTACATGTTCAATAATGAGACCTCATTAAATAAGTTATGATCGACTAATACAGCCATTAAAATAATTTTGGGACTGAGGGTGGTGAACAGAAGTAGCTATTTCACACACTATTGTTGCAAATAAATTGCGCGATTTCACCACTTTGTGAGGTGAATTGGTATTACCATTGTTTAAGATGCATGCTGTGACCCATTTCCTGTCGCTAATAACTCAGTACAATAGAGGGGGTAAGCTACAGAGAAAAGTGATTTACATTGGCACTTGATTCTTGTTTAGGGTGGAGGGGCTACATCTGGTGAGGACCCTCATACCGGCCAAGTCCTGAGGTGGAGCAGTCTTCAGAGGTGTCCTTCAGACAAAGGTCATATGTCTGTACTTACTCTCCCGTGAAGTTAGCAGTATTCAGTCATAGAGGCCCATGACCTTGAAAAGCTTGTCTAATTCTACTTACTTCCTAAAGGCCCCATCCCAAAATACCACAGCAAAATTAAGTGCCCCACTCCCGAGTGTATACTGAGGTAATTGTAGTTTTTTATGGTGTGTATGTGTGTGTGCATGTGAGTGTGTGCATGTGAGTGTGTGTGTGTGTGTGTGTGTGTGTGTGTACTGAGGTAATTGTAGTTTTTATGTTTTGTGTGTGTGTGTGTGTACTGAGGTAATTGTAGTTTTTTATGGTGTGTGTGTGTGTGTGTACTGAGGTAATTGTAGTTTTTACGGTGTGTGTGTGTGTGTGTGTGTGTGTGTGTGTGTGTGTGTGTGTGTACTGAGGTAACTATAGTTTTTTTATGTTTACCCACTGAGCCATCTGGATGGCCCACGGCATTCCTTCTAGGAGAAAAAGAGCGTAAGCAATATAAGTGACGACAAGTTGAACGAATCACAGTTTACCATACAGCAGGATACTTTGAAGGCAATTGTATTGCAATTGTATGCAATCATGACTACAGCTAGCATCTTTAAAGCTTGCAGTGGCCTGCGTGCAGTTCTAAGTGCTTTACGCACGTTGATCTAATGAACTGAGATGAAAACACACATCTCCGTATCAGTTACTATCACCTCACAACAAATGGTCCCAAACAAGCAATGAACTTGTTTCCTCCTGGTTGACCTTCCTTCTGACTCTGGGCACCTGTGGGTTGGTAAGCAGTATGGCAGATCTTTGGTTTAGGATTGTCTTGGCCAGGGCAATTGACTTACATCTCCCAAAAGACTAGCCCAGGCTTGTTTACATGACAGTGACAGAATCCCAAGAGTGGGATTATGCAAGCACATCGATGCTCTAGTCCAAACTGGAACACCGTCTTTCTTGCTACCTTCTATAGGCCACAGCAAACTCAGATTCAACAGATGGGAAAAGTTTCTCCTTTTTTGATAGGAGGAGCCTCAAAGTTCTGTTTCCGGAAATGTAAAATCATCAAGAAAAATCATTGGAAACATTTTTATAATCAGTCTTCCATGTGGCTAAAGTAAACAATTGTGTAGACTCCGATCCATCCAACGAAAATGCCTATCATCCTGGATGTTCTCTGTCTCTCTCTGTCTCTCTCTGTCTCTCTCTCTCTGTCTCTCTCTCTCTGTCTCTCTCTCTCTCTCTCTCTCTCTCTGTGTGTGTGTGTCTCTCCCTGTTTCTCTCTCTCTCTCTCTCTCTCTCTCTCACACACACACACACACACACACACACACACACACACACACACACGACTGTGTGGAAGACTGAAGTACTGTCAAGTGCACGGAGCTTCTCTTCACCACAGTTCTGCTGGTAAAGAAACCAGGGTGTCAAGAGAAGGTCTTTTTGTTAAATACCTTTTGTTAACAAAACCTATCATTTTAAAAACAAGACCTAAAAACTAAACCACCTCACTGGTTACGCTGACTCCAATACTTAGGAGGCAGAGGCAGGAAAACTGTCATGAGTTTGAGGCCAGCCTGAGCTACAGAGTAAGATCATGTTTTAAAAAAATAAAATAAAGAGCAACAACAAAAACAAACAAACAAACAAAAACCTAAATATCCCAATAAAAGTCATAAGATTCAATGAAAACAGAGCATGTCGGAAAGAATGAAAGAGGAGAGAGAGAGAGAGAGAGAGAGAGAGAGAGAGAGAGAGAGAGAGAGAGAGAGAGAAAAATGTTCAGTAGACCTCAGAGAGCACAGGAAGCGGATGGGGGTGCACCTGCAGAGATCTCCACCTAGGAGTCCTCAATCCATGAACCACTTTGTGTTCAATTTCCCAGCATCTAATTCCCATCATGCAACTGAGGACAGTGCTGACTGGTTGGTGTTCAGTCCTGGGTGGTTAAGGTGAGACGCTGTATATGATTTTCACCATGCAAATGAGAGCAAGCTATGGTATTGCGGCTAATTTTGACTAGCCAACTGTCCCACCATTTAGGCGGCAGGGAGTCCCAGGCTATGTGTGTGAGGGATCCAGGTTTGCACTACGGGACCCATTGCTGTCCTGATCTCTTGATCATAGCCTTGACTCCACATTCTTCGGCAGAGCAACAAACCTCATAGTCTCAGTGTGCTTTCTGTTGCTGTGATAACTACAATGACCAAAAGCAACTTGGGGAGGAAAGGGTTTATTTCATTTCACAGGTCTCAGTCTATCATGAAGGGAGGCAGGGGCAGGGCAGGAACTCAAGGCAGGGATCTGGAAGGAGAGACTGAAACAGAGGCCATGGAGGAATGCTGCTTCCCGGCTTGCTCTCTATGGCTTGTTCACCCTGCTTTCTTGTACCATCCAGGACCACCTGCCCAGAGGTGGACTGGGCCCTTCCACATCAATCACCGATCAAGAGACTGTCCCACAGATTTGCCTACAGATCAGTCTGACGGAGGAATTTTCTCAGGTGGGGTTCCCTCGGCCCAGATGATGCTAGCTTGTATCAAGCTGACAGAAAACTAACTAGCACACCAATCTTGAGAGACCTCTTTTTCTGTGGTTTCCTCACTCTGAGCAGAAGTACTATGCTAGCCCTGCCTACATTGTTATATATGTCCCGTGTGGTACATGGAAGAGAGGCAGCCATACTTAGGAACAGCTTAGTAGAAGGCCAGGATGCCTGGCCCAGGGGGGTTAGGGAAGAGGGATTTCTGATGGTAGAAGCAGAAAGCCCCCATCAAGGCATCATCTGGAGATGGAACCATTGACCCCAAAAAGAAACAAACTCGACTAGAGGGTGAAAAATGCAGGGGTAGGAAGTCTTGATTGAATGTGCTTTGGGGACTAGTGGAGGCCAAGGTACGTGTTGTTATTCAGTTGGCTGGGAGGCAGAAATGAGCCGAGATGTAAGGCGTCCTGTAGAACA